GGGGGGGGGGGGGCACAGACTTTGGGAAAATATGGAGTGAGATGGGGTATATAGGTTTGGGCCAAGCAGCTTATGTCGATCAATGGATTCACAAGCGATCTTTACGGATTGCTTGTCGGGAAAAAGTGTCCGGCTTACAATGCCAAATGTCTCCATTGAATAATGCTCCTTAAATACTTTTGACCAGGGCTATTTTAGCGACGGCTTTTCTCACCTTTTTCTTCTCAGTTTATTGTTGCACTCGAGAGACTCGAATTATCCGATTTTCAGATGGTGTAAAACGCAAGTCCCCGTAATTTGAGGCGCGGCACGTTCTCGGGGTCGGGGGTATCTGGAGCAATATTTTTTTTTTTGGGGGAGGTGGGGAATTTTTTTTTTTGAATTGGAAACAATGGAGCGGGGGAAATGACGGATTTTAATCGAATTGACCCTCTACTGCACGGGCGTGACGAACCGTCGCGGTGGGAGAGGAGTGGGGGTTTGTCTGAGTATTAGTGAAAGGCAGGGGAAGCACGGTGAACGCATGTGTACCTCTACGAAACGGCGAAAAGTGGGGGACCGGGAGATGAAACGACGGGTTGAACTCTCTTGTTGAAATGTTCTTATTCAATTCGACAATATTTTCATTGGCAATTGACAAAGTTATGGATTTATTTCTATAAAAATATTTTAATTGTAGAATGATACGACGTCTGTGGTCCCAAAATTAAGTCATTTTTCGTGTCTCAAGTGGTCAAGTAGTGAATTAGTCAAAATAATATAAACATAACTTGAATTTTGAAGATTAAAACCTAAAGTAAATTCTAAACGAAGGTCAATAGGAATAGAAACCTTATGGTTGAGTTTATGCTCAATCGACAGTCTAGTATTATGATAATGATTGCTCTAGAAGTGCAAAAATAACACGGATTCTTATGAGAAAATCAATTTTCGAGGTTGCGGAGAAGATTAAAATCTACACTGTTAAATTTTTTTTATAAATTCCAGTAAGAGTTTTGGGAATTTATAAAAGTATCATTTCCACTGGAATTTCACGGAATTTTGTCATTGTAAATTCATAATATCATAGGAAAATTTGTGGGAACTGTAAATCTCAGTTCAATTATTCCCGCAAAATTGAGGAAAAATCAAGAAAATGCAATCGAGAAATTTCTCCTTGAATTTCAGATTCCTCTGAATATTCAGAGAATTCCTTCAAAATTCTCGGAA